CAGGGCAAAGCAGTGCGGAGCATCCGGTTGGCATAACTATGAGCAACAGAATGGCAATAAATAGTGGTTGTGAGAAAGAGACAGAGCACAAGCAGATTACAAAGAAAAAGGGATAAAGATAAGTGAACAAGAATAGAGGGGCGCATTTACAGCTATATCCTTTACTGGCAATTTCACGCATAGCCCTATTATGTTAGCTTGTTAAAAGAATCAAAATAACGCGTTGTTCATCCAAGTTCGCATGCACATGAAGTGGGTCTCCCCATGTGTGGCGAAAGGATTGCACAGTCTCACACGACCTGATGGTGAATGTCAGCCGATTCCACAGAGAAGCATATATGGTGAGACGAAAGTTAGACCGCAAATTTGTCCTGCATCGTTGTATACTCAGGGTAAGGTCTTTGTTACCTAGGTCCCGCCTTTAATTGTGTTGCAATGTTAAGGTGAATCGATTGCAATGGGTATTGCCATGAATCAGATTGTAGAGCAGTCTCAAGTTATCTTATAGTATTCGCAGCCAAAGCGGATCGAGGAATTGCTGGCATCGCTCCCGAGAGTTTATGATAGAATTTTTTCTGACACGTCTTTAGTAAATGACCGTTGAACGCTTTCTATCCATGTGTGTGTGTACCTGTGCCCAATGCATAAGTTGATATTCGTATTCCGTTAGGGGATAAATAGGCTCGGCATGTGGTTTATCACGACGTGCAGTGCTTGAACAGTAACAATTTTTGTAATACGGTTACGACTTTTAATAAATTCTGTCGCAGTCACAGCGTTCCTGAACTGAAAGAGCAGGGGACAACTGCGGTGCTAGCCATGTGAGCGCAAGAAGTCAGTTTTATTTCTCTTTGCTTCAGCCCATCGTGATCGCAACGATAATGGGCAGGCACGTGGGATATGGGATCAGCAGGCTTATCGGAGCACATTTTCCCTGTCTTCGGTTTCACACTTGATGCAAACGGATGCAGTGACATTACGAGATAAAGTGCTGGAACGCGCTCGTGTGGCAGACATCATGGAGTTGTGCCAGAAGGTAATCTAGTGGAAATTTTAGAATATATACATGAGTAAACTGCGACCATTCAAAATACCTACATACGCGACGGATGCCAACTATATGCACCCGCTAGTTCTGCATTTCTTCGCATGACCAGATAAGCTCACCGCCAAGTCAACCGTAATGTATCCTTGATACATCAACCTCCTCCTTACACAGGCTATACAGGCGATCGCGCACGGCACACTACCTCTACCCACACGGTTATTAGTATTGGACTCGTTCCCAAAACTCTTACACATATTTACCGCTCAAATAATCCGCGATTATGATGACTCACGCAACAGTGATGCGAATACCGCTTCCACCATTTATGACACGTTTTCATTACTACTGAGTAACACCAGATGGATTATCAACAAGCGGTATTCCCTAAGGGTGCTTGCACATTTAAACGAGCTGTAAGCAATCCTCGTTACTGATACATAGTACTCTGCTGTTACATTAAACTCTAATCCAATAACCCCTTCCCATTAACACCTTTTTCGTACTGATCGCTGCAACACAAAAGGCAGGGGATGCTTCATGTAACTCCATCACACATGTACAGATGAACGTCTTGAACATCCACAACTAGCAAATGTTCCTGATTCTCTCCGGTTCTCCGTCTCAGGAGTCTCGGTTCACTTGCATGTATCCGCAAACCGCCAAATTCATCAATCATTACTGTTGTCCGTATCACTTCAGCTTTAGACCTTGCATCGGAATTTTCGCACAAACAAAGCATACTTGCAGGTGATTTCAACATACCGAAGATACACTGGTCTAGACGCAGAGCCTTCATTTATTCCGTCCATGTTGGTGGTCGGACACAGTGCGTTACTATGCCAACTTGGTTAACGAACAAATTAGACGTGATGTTTATATTGGGTATGGCCGATGTACAGAGACGTGTTAGAGAACCTCCCTGGTAGCGACTGCAACATGATACTCTTAACCTTCACCGTTAAAATGGCCACCAAACAAGTACCTCCATCCTACTACAGCATCCACCGGATTAACTGGGAACCCTTCCGTCAACTAATCCGGTCCTCTGATTTGGATGTCTTCTTTCTCTCCAATAATGCCTGCGCGGCCGTGGAGCACTTCTGTCATTAGTTTCAACAAGCTGTAACCCTCGTGGTTGCACAAGAAAAATGAAACAGTGAAGTTTAAAAAGACGCAGCTGAACGTTTGATCGGCCAAAAAACCAGCAAACCAATCGCGCTAAAAAGGACAGGATATTTTGCAATGAATCTATGGATGCACCGATTGATCTCTGAAATCACGCAATTCCAATCGATAGGGAGAACAGACGAAGAGCAAGTAGACCTACGAATGACATGCAAAGCAAACGAGCTGGTCAGATTGCTCCATCGAAGAACCATTGATCACCGAACTGGTGGATGACATGCAGGTCCCATCTGTGAAGCACTTATCTCGTTCTTCTCCACCTACATGAATCTTGATACTAACGCCATTAATACACAAAGACGCCATTTAAAGTACTATTGCTCTCCGCAATATCCACCAAGCAAAACATTCCATTCAACCGTCCTCCAGTCTGGAAGCTGATGGCTTCCCCCCATCCGCTTTGAAACTGGGAGAGCCTGATATTTCACTGCTCCCTTTGCCGTTTCACTGGGATCCAAGTGCTTCCAGATCACTGGAAAACTTCACTTATCAGCCCTCACCATATGGGCTGTGCAAAACAGGAGATTGGCAACTACAGGCCAAGCCATAACACTCCTATGACAGCCGGATTATTCGAGAAATTGATAAAGAAGTGTGTGGTGAAATTCATCAACTCACTGGAGCTGATAGACAGGTCTGGACATGTTTTCCTTGACTAACGATCGTACACATTCTGGTGGCTGCATTACCTGAACTACATACTTGACTCCATTGACTCAAAATATGCGATATTAATTCTATGCTTGGACATGTAGAAAACATTCGATCGGGTACCTCACAAACGGTTACCGATTCAGATAGCTTTCTTTGAAGTCCAGAACACATCATACATGAACGGTCGCGCTGAGACAGTCATCTTAGGCGAAAATTGCTTTCCCCCTGCGTTCAATTACCAGCGGGGTAAAACAAAGAGGTGTGCTCGGTACATTTATTTCCCCTCTTTGTATCAATAATATCAAGTTGGTTAACAAACATGGCGTGCCGTTGTTATTTGCTGATGAGATAAAAACTGTCTACAAGTACCAACGAGTTGAGCTTACGAATGTACTGCCACTCTTTCAAGAAAACAAGCTTTCGCTTGAGACTTGGTGCAACAAGTGGATGATGACGCACTAAGCACAAAACTCGAGTATCACGCGTCGCGGTTGTTTTCGATACCCGAAGTATCCATTGCACGTAACAGCGAACGCATCTGTGCACAACGGTCCACTGGTGACCTCTGAATAAGGTATTTTTGTACTTTCAAGTTGTGCGAACAGATTGAGTACCAAATAGCACGAGCCAGACAATCCTTGGCTAACATATTTCACCACATGCATACAACCACAGCTACAGTTGAACTATTAAAAATCCTTGCTCGTCCCATTCTGGAGTATCACAGCATAATCTGTGGCAATATGAGAAAATCAGACAGCACATCGATAGAAAGCATTCAACGGTCATTTACTAAAGACAGAACTCGCATACCTACTAACCGGTTGTTCTGCCATGTACTATTAATAATAAGGCGCTAGTGGGGTGAAACTAAGGAGTGACTCCCTGAGTGGGAGGTTCGAAATCAGCCAAAAAGGAGGTAGAAACCTTGGGGAAATTGTGCGGTCAATAAATCAAGAATTCTGTTGCATTCGTTCACATATTTCATTCTTAACCCTTTACCGCATTGAGTATCCGCAGTCAAAAGCGAAAGCTTCTGATTAGTCTCCAAATAACTCCTCTGCTTTGGCGTTCGAAAGACGATTTTGCAGTCAAACAGAAGGACAGACAATTGAAATAAACCTTAAATATCTGCACTATCAAAGGAACTTACTCTAAATGTGAACAACTTTGTGAAACCTAGTTGGCAACAGTATGCAGTAGCGGGTTAACCGCGTCATTGGATGACTTGATATTTCTGACTATTCCTTCAGAATTACCATTGTGTGGCAACGTGAATCAAGGTAACTGGATCACTCGTACTAAGGTGTACGGATAAGAAGTGGAACCGATCAGAACGAGACACCTTGGAGGGAACTAAAAAAGTGGAAGCATACAATATAATCACCCATTCGAACAACGGCTGCTCGAAATAAACCAACGGGATATTAACTACTGTGACAAGCGTTGTCCGAGGATGTCGGTGGAGCAGTGACGAAGACGCACGCCGGGCGAATTCTCTGTCCAGGATTCGAGCTTCGTTCCCCTTCTTCTTCGCTTTATCAAATTAGGCCGACTGAAGCTTACATGAAGAGGAAACCGGCCGTAAAATGTTAACAAGATTCGACTTTATCTGATCCAGAGATTCCAGTTAAAGTAAATCAGGGTCTAAAATGGGATCGCGTGTTGCTATACATTCACACGACGGGTGTATTGAGCAGACAAACAGTAAATCCATTGCTCATGACCGGGGTGGGCATCGCTTAAACTGAACTTGTGGCTAATCTTGCAGGCAACTTTACATCGAAAGTTCTCGAGTGGTGGCTCTAGTACAGAGCAGACGAATGACACACAATTGCAAATAGAATAAAGTTCCATATTGCTGGTGAATAGTACTCACAGAGTGGCAAGCAAAGGGAAATGGGAGTGCAGAATAGTTCGTAAGGAGAAAGCAGTAATGTGGGCTAAAGCTCATCACGGTCGCCCGCTAAGAAAATTTTGCAGTTACAGGCGGATGGTGAAATCAACTTGCGCGCGGAGAAACATGAACGATGGACAGCATAAAGGCGCAACATGCGCTAAGATGTCTAGACATCATGTGATCGCCTGCGACTCATGCAGACGATCCCGGTCATCAAATTTCATAATGCTGTTAAAAGTAAGCGGCCCCGTGGACCAACAACGAGTCAGATAAGAGTCACACAATCGGATGCAAAAACATTCCAGGTTGAAAAGGCAGCAAAACGACAGAAACAGCGATAGAACAAGCAATGTTGAGGAATAGAAACGAAAGGATATTGAGTCCTACGGAGAAACGGTACTTCGCTGGGTAACAGTGATTGTATGCACCTTGAAAGGAATGTAAAAGGTAGAACTCACCGCAGATAAGTGGTGCGGTTGTCCAGACTCTTTTAGACTCGGAAACGAATCGTATAGGCGCCATGTTACCTTCTCTTGCCAACCGGCGGACCGGAGTGTGCGAATCTGGGCCCAAAGGCAATCGAGGTACTAAAAATAAAAACCCAAGCGAAACTTGACGAACTTGAAGTTCGTAGACAGTGAACAACGCGAGACTGTGAGTATACACCCAAAAAGCTGCCCCAAATTGAGAAAATCGGAACGACAGAAAAGTTCCCCAAAAAGGAGTGCAGTTCGATGTTGAATAAAAATTTGCACTAATAGAGTAGTAACAGACAGACTCATGAGCGGAGAGTAAAATCAGAAAGTACGGCGATGGCAAATTTTGGATAAGAAACATGAAGTTTCAGTAAGCTAAAATTAGTCCAAAGGAAGCTCAGCTATGCAGTTTGAACAACGCCGTGTGGTGAACAATGTCACAAAAGGCTCATCAACCGTTCTGGTCAAGATACGTACATCTTCCTGCGGATGAGGATCATCAGATTCCCAAACGCGAAGTAAAGGAACATGAGCCTTGTGGCGTTTCCTGGAAAAGACACAAAGGATATACAAAGTTCATCAGTGCGTGCACAAAGATGGGACAAACGATAGAGCAGAAAAGTGTCAGCTAGAGAGCAGGATTCTGGTAAATGTGGCCCCCAGGTTTCATGGGAAGATGCAGTAGCAGAATTTTTCACAAACTGTTATAGTTGAAACAATGTGCAAAAGTGAAACACACTGAAATCATACAATTCAATTTAGATAAAAAAAGAAGTATGGGACTATCGTCTTCGGATGAGGTGAAGGATAAGATTCCGTGATTGTGCTCGAGGAGATGGATAAGCGTAAACCAGAGATAAACCACTATAAACTGGACAACGACCATGAGAATGACATCCGGTTGGGAAAGGATCAAATCCAGCGATAACAATATGTGACCCCGTCTTACAATTTGTCGACACGAGGATATATTGGGTGGAAATTGAGTGGGATACGCGAAGAATCCAGTGAGCAACAAAAGACAAGAGACCATCAACAACGCAGCAGCCCACCAAGACGAAATCAATTGAAGGTCCTTGAGTAATCAATGCTATATATATATATATATATGTGTGTGTGTATATATATTATACACAACCTGTGGTACAGATATTGTGCCATCGGAATCATGGCTGAATAGAGAAACAATATGAATAATAAGAAAAGAGCAACAACAAATGCTTTTTTGTCTATTTTACCACTCAGTTTTTTTGAAATTTTTTTCAGTTTGTTCTTTTTAAGGGGGAGGAAGAAGGGACACCGCAACGAACCGATGCACACGTCCGCCATTGACATCGATCTTGAGCCACCTCTTCCAAGGTCTTCAACCAGCAAATTTCCGCATCTCTCGGACCCCAACCAGGTAGTCGACGACAATCGGCCGAGGCCAACTGTTTCGTCAGCTTTTTCATGCGGCTTCTCCATGTTGTAGGCTGTCCACCAGACCGTTTCTTCCAGCCCTGTCCAGCAAGTGCAAACAACGCACGACGGGGGTAACGCTGGACAGGCATGCACAATACGTGTCCCAATCACCGCAGTTGACGCAGTGAGACGACCTCGTCGAGCGAGTAGCTTCCAGGTCCCAAGACACGCTGTCTAACTTCCACATTGCTTACGTGGTGCTGCCACCACACACGGGCAATGGACCGCAGACAGCGGTGCTCGAAGACGGATAGCCTGTGCAAGTCATTTTTACGAATGGGCCAGGTCTCGCGTCCGTACAACAGTACAGCACAAACAGTTGCACAATAGACCCGCCCTTTGATGAAGAGACGAATGACGTGGCGACGCCACAAATGACTCAGCCTAGAAAAAGCGAGGCGTGCTCTCGAGATGCGCATCGAAATCTCGTCTCCAACAGCCCCGCCAGCAGTGATGCAACTTCCCAAGTAGACAAAGCTCTCCACAACCTCCAGTGTCTCACCATCAAAAGTGAGTGCAGACATAGGCATCTGCCAGTCTTGAAAGAGAGCCTTGCATTTGGATGGCGAAAAGTACATACCATACATTGATGCTTCAATCGCCAAGGGGTTTAGTGCAAGTTGAACGGCGTGTGGATCATCACCTAGCAAGATGATATCATCAGCAAAATCCAAATCACCAACTCGACTACCTGGGAGGAGCTCAACGAGAGCGTTCAACGAATCGCCTAAAGCGTTCTTCAAGACATCCTCAATGGCAAAGTTGAAAAGGAACGGAGAGATAGGGCATCTTTGTCCAATTCTACTGGAGATCACAAAGGTAGGCGAAAGCTTGCCATAAGCCCTAACCCTGCCCGAGGTCAGACTATATAGAGCGCGCAGTAAGGAGACGAACTTCTCGGGGACACCATTCCTCAGTAGGCAGTGCCACAGTACTGTACGATGAACAGAATCGAAGGATGCACGGCTATCCAGGAACACAGCAATCGTTGGCCTCTGATACACATGGCGGAGCTCGAGGATCTGGCGAGTGTGAAGATTTGATCGATGCAGCCGCGACCAGGGCTTGTTCTTCTCGTTGCAACGATTCGAGTGTTGGGGATAGCCTACGAAGTATGATGGACACCAGCAGCTTGCAAACGACGGGGACTAAACTGATTCCTCTGCAGTTGGAGCAGATTGTGCGCAGGCCCTTTTTGAAGATGGGGACGACTATCGATTCACCCCCAAGATGACGGAACTTTCTCTTTCGACCAAATTTTCGAGAACAAAGCAGTGAGTTCTCGGACCAGCGATGCGCCACCATCTTTAAACAGAGCCGGAGGAAGACCATCAGGGCCGTGGGCTTTATAACGCTTCATGTGCCGGAGCTCCTGCTCGATTTCCTGGGAAGAGGGAGGATCTGTGGGGGTAGACCACTCGGCCCCAGCGCGAGCGCCAGAAGTAGAAGATGGAGCTGGGGGCCAACAAAACTGCGAGGCAAAATGCTCGGCCCATCGCTCCGACCGTCGTTGAAGATTGGTGATTAAGGTGACATCCTCTTCGCATATTGTTTCACTTATACCAGATCGAACACCTTCGGTGACTCGAATGAGATGGAAGAGTTTGCTGGTATTACCAGAGAGACTAGCAAGCTCCATCTCCCTAGCACGTTCACACCACCAAACTTCGCGGTCCATTTGCAGACTCCTGCGCAACTCTCGACCAAGGTATTGGCGTTCTTCACTGTGTCTGGAATCCGATGGGAGCAAGCGGCGTCTGTCCATCAGCGACAAGGAGTCGGCGGAAATCAAATGCTTCGGTGGGTGACGGGTAACTCCACAAGTGTCGATACTGGCGGAAACTAAGGCATCTTTGATCTGCGCCCACTGCGAATCGAGATCACCGTCAATAGTTGAGCCGAGCAAGATTGACAGTGAAGCTTGGTACTTGGTTAAAATCGCAGGGTTTTGTAGATTCGCGACGTCCGGTCGGTAGTGGGCGCACTTAGGTCATCCTCCGAAACTCATGCAAATCTTAGCACGAACGAATGCGCGATCGGAGTCTAGAAAAGTTGACCAGTACGATCAGCAGTCCGTTACGCTTCCGCGCCATCTGTAGCTGATTGCTATGTGGTTAAGCTGGGAGCACTCTTGCGTTTGTGAGGGCGGGCGCCAGGTAGCAGTGTGTCTTCTTGAGTGCTAAAAACTAGTGCTCGAAAGAAACAAGAGATGATCAGAGCAAAGAGCAAGCAGTCTGTCTCCATTGTCTAATCGACTGCCACCGAGACCAAAACTACCCCCAAGGTGGTGCTCGCTTGGTGGAAGGCGGCCAAGCCGTGCGTCAAAGTCCTCGGCAAGAATGATTATATCAGTCCTTTTGGAGGAACGGAGTAGTTCATGTAGTTGTTGGTAAAAGCTATCTTTAACTGCATCCAGGCTACAGTCTGTAGGGGCGTAGGCGGAGACGATAAACAAGGCACGCTTAACATCTCGACGCCTGCTTACGTTACATGAACCTCTTAGTCTGACTGCACATAGCCGACTGTTGACTGGGATCCAGTCAAGCAAAGCTGATTCAGCCTTGGCACTCAGTACAACCCCAACACCAGCTTGACCAGTGGCGGCAGCTTCTGGGTCTCCGGAAAGCCGCAAGTAGTATTTGGCGTCAGAGTTTACCGGAGAGGCCATTCTGATGACAGCGCTAGAGTCTTGTAATCTGGTCCCTGAAAGGCAACAGATGTCTACCGAAAGCGTTTCAAGAGTACGGGTCAGAGATGCTTGTCGTCCGATCTGCAACAAAGTTCGAACATTAAACGCTACGAGGATGAATGGTGAACCAGGTCGAAGAAGATCTGGAGCGTTGGTGGAGTGAGAGGCGGTTGCGATCCCAGGACATTGAAAACCGGTAGTATAGCTGTTACTTCCATCAGCTGCGAGACGTGAGTCGTTTGTGATGGTGACCGTAGAAGACATAAGAGTACATGTGCGTGAAGGACGGGATGTGGGGTGATCTGTGAGTGGAGGTTGAGCGGTTGAGTTAGCACAGAAGATTGGCACAGCAGTAGCAGTAGTAAGCGGTGTGGTCCATGATTCGTCAGTGCGCGTGATACTACCCGGTTGTCCAGGCCGAAGTAGAGGGTTGTCTTAGGGGGCCCTACCCCGAGCCTTTGATCAAAGATCTAACCTACAAGGCAGCAGGGCGATGTGAGGGCGTCGCAACCCGTTGGGAGCTGGTGACCAAATAGATGGTTCATACGCCTTTCGGTCCGTGAAGGACCAGGGGCCCAACACACCCTTGAAGTACAATGCATCTCAGGGAGGGGCAAGGGGCAGAGAGTTTATTTAGTGGCGTCACATCCGCCACGTCGTAGTGTTCTCAAACAGACATTTGTGGCTTTTTATAGGGAGAACGCTTGCCAGGCGAAAACCTACCACGTCCTGGAACACTGACGCCGAACCATTCGCTGGAACGGGAAAAACCCGAACCACCCAGCTGGCACCACGAGGTTGTTCGGCAAGCCAATGCTGCCGATCCAATACTCAAAACCAAGCAAAATGAATTGGTGGAATTTAGTACAACCGGAGATAAAATAATAAGACTTGCCAAACCACATGTTAAATATAATACTCTAGGGAGAATGAACGGGAATAATGATGATAGTCGGCAAAGGGTGTGTGTGCAACACAGGTGCCGTTCCGTGACAAATGTCCGGTGCACCAAAACGTGCATCGGATGTGTATCAACTGAACAACTGAGCGACTACTCTAATTGGTTCAGTTTATGCCCAATGTAAGGGAAAAGACGCGGTGGTAGCACAAAATCTGTGAATGATACGGAAACTTATATGTTTCCATAAATCGTTCGAGCAATACTTGCGTCTCAACTATACTATTTCAACGCCACACGTTCGCACGCATGCTGGAATAGGCAGTTATGGATGAACAAATGTTATGACAGCATGGGTTACGACGGCACCCATCTGTTGACCCGGGATTCCTGTTACTACAATCCATTTGCGTAGAAATTCTAACAATTCCTGGACACCCACTTTGCGGATCACATGCGAATAGACCATAGCGCAGCCGTAATATGCTGCAAACGCGCAGCCATCAGTGACGTCATTCCGCGCAAGCGGCCGATCTGACTACGATACAGCAACACAGCTATGTATGTATTGGCACTCTATCCTCAATACTCAGAGCTCAGCACTCAGTGCTCGCACCATGAATGATCCATGGGACTCTAACCGAAACAATTTTGACTAAATAGTTGAACAACACTAGATGGTTCTAGTTCTGTGGATTCATAATCAAAGCATGAGTAACGTAAAGCTGTATGTTGATGAATGGTGCATCGAACAAGCGTCATCAGGTGTGACGCGTCAACAAGCCGGGTAATCTTGATGCGGCAATATACTCATTTGTAGTAGAACCAGTGATTATTTCCCCTATGCGAAACAAAAGATTGACTGATCCAGTGAAAAATGATAGAAGTTCGGGAAAACGGGATTGTTACTTGAGCGCAGTGGTCAAAGGCAAGTGGATACGAGGACGAATGATAGGTGAATAGCTTTCGAATGCGACTGGGGCCACCAAAACAAAGTGGTGATTAGTGGTTGAGTACGAAGGAAAAACAGGTAAATAGACAACAACAAAAGCTCATACACAATACAGACTCACGTCATATATACAGATAGTGTACCAAGAATGTCGTTTAGCGCGACGGAATCGTGGGCAGCCAGCATATGAGCACTCTGGAGTGGAGAAAGTAAGCAAAAAGAAGCGAGGTGAAACCAGGGAGAAGAAATAGTAGGTCGGTGACTTGTAAGACTAAATAAATTGACTGAGAGACTTGGTTCGAGTAGCGCATGTGGTCTTCATAGATTAGGGGTTAAGTGGGTCACAACAGTTGTTGGGGTCTCTATCGAACATGGTGCAGTTGTACAACCAGTATGCTACTGCTACTCAGTTTCCTTCAGCTAGCTGTTAATAGTGCATCCGAATCAACTGCATTTAGTTGCCTTACTTTAATCCGCCTTGTATTCGCTTTGCGTCCTACCTCATATAACAGACCAATGTTAATTAGTGCTATTCTTCCGACGTCAGTTGTAGCAACTGGATCTATAGCAGTTCGGTGCCCGGAACATGATTGCACAGTTGAAATGATCGTCACTCAGAAAGTGTACTTATTCTCGTAGTGGGCGTCAGGTATCAGCAATAATATGCGAAACCCCGTCAGTAGTGCTCTCTCTAGGTGTTTTACCCTCCATGCAAATTGTTCCTCCTAAACGAATCAAGCAAGATACGATTACGGAGTTCAATCCAGACGTAAGTCAGTCCAACACAAACATTCTGTACTTGATGGGTCGGAAAAATAACCAGCTCGAGCTATACGTCTTGATGAAATGGCTGTGTTCTGTGTTGGAAACATGTATTAATAAAAGTGAGAAGCAAGCACTGAGTGGACAATTCCTAAATGTTTTGTTAGTAAAGATTAGATGTGATGGCTTTCTTTAAAAATCGTGATAAGAAGTTAGCAGACGCCATTCCAGCGACACTTTTGCATACGAGATGGAGTCGAACAGTGCGAGCAGACCCCGAATGTAATGCAACCGTTCCTTAGTAACAACACAGGAAGACAGACGGCTCGAAGTCCCTTGTTTCGCGCTAGCAAGTTATCGAACTATTCCCGATGCAGTAAGTTGTGACACCAGTCAGAAAAAACATGTGACTCTGTAAACAATGGCTGTGGCTCCTCGGAACGTGTAATCCGGAACTCGAGCCGGTGGGGTAGGGTTAGATTACCTGTCGGTTTATCTCAGCTACTGCTTCATGTACTGATGTCCTTCTTGGGCATGTACTTCATGGGAATGGGAACAAAACGCGATAGCACTAGTATTATCCCTCTCTCTGGTTAATTCTGTCTAATGACGCTCCCGACTAACGGCCTCAATAAATAGTCGCTGCAGAGTTGCGAAGAGTCAGAAAATTACACTTGTTGGGATTTTCAGCCTTTTTTAACCAAGCTAACAGAAGCTTCGAATATCCATCGACTATTCCCATGAACCAGATTGAATGGCCAAGTGACTCTAGGGACCTACTTCACAGGGCAGCCGACACGATTCCAAGCGGCGTTCATCTCATAGAATTTTATCACCGACAGGTGGTGTCGCAGCCCAGGTGAATAGTCAATTGGTAGGCTGTGTGCTAAGTGAGCAAGCAAATCATCCTAAAGTCGCGCAAGCATGCAATGGGTGATGCCAGGAATGGATCGAGTGATTGCCTTGCACCAATGTGCGCTATGCGGAGCTAATGACAATTTGGCCAAGTCCATCGTTTTGCTCGGTGAGTACGAAGAGGCGCGAACAAGATTGTTGAAAAGCGGCGGTTCTGATACGAAGACCGTGATAGGTACACACCAGAAGAAACCTGTCGTGGCTGTTGTTACGACAGGCGCGGACCACAGAGGTTCACAAGGAGTTAGTTAGAGTTCAGTTTGCAGTTCCCTTACGTATTCTTAGCACCATTAACGATCGTGATATATCGAAGTCGAACAGAGTCCGTCTTCAAATAACTAGAGGCAGTCAGATGGGAAATACACTGGAAAGATCAAAAGGTATCAACTTCACTGACACTGCTGAGCAGCACAGACGAGGCGTGGAAGCTGAACTGCGCACACGTGGTCATGAACTGAGATGCATCCGAGTAGCCTGTCTTCCTGTGGATCTATGATGTAGCGGTTCAGATGCCTGAATTTCCGCCTTGGCATCCAGGAGCCGAGCCACCGCTACCGCGTGGGTTTAGTACCACCTGCAATTTTTCCGCCAGTGTACAAAAGCTATCAGTCGTATTGCAGTTAAGCATCGGTACGTGACATTGGTTGAAAGTCTATGCAGTTTATCTTCAGCGCCGTCAGATGTATACCGTGATGCTTGTTTTACACATCAACCGAGTTGAACTGGTAGCTCGTAAGCTGATTTCTCTAAAGCTAAGTTTTGAGGGAAGAAAGTCATCTTTTATAAGGGGGGTGTTGAAACCGATTTTGCTCAAATAATGGAGAGCTATAAGTGTAATATGAATAACCGTAGATAAAACTATACTGGTTTGTCCTAACAATCAACAAGGAAGATAATCTAGACACCAATCTGGAAAGCACCAGACAATCATTTCACCCGTGGTGTACATTCCCTACTCATCAATAATCAAAACATTCGCCTCCACGTAAATAACTACTGTGCTGTGCAAATTACGACTTCTGGAAGCCAACCACTGTCCTCTGCAAGGTTGGTAACCTACATGGCAATGGATGGGTTGTGCTACACCCAAGTTAGTTTGGAAGCTGTGACGGTCTGCCAACGCCCTTGTGTTTTAGTGGCATAAACTGTTGGCTAGTTAGAGCAAACCGCTAGCGGTCACGAGTTTGGTTCCTTGCAAAAGATCGAAGGGATGTGCACCAATGTGGAGCCACGATAAGGCGAACGATCGTCTGACGCTTTTCCAGATTGGTGGCATGATTATCGCATGCAAGATTGTGCACATGCCACCTATCACCTTCGTCGTCCAGAGTTATTCGCGCTCCCCGGAAGCGATTGGAAAAAGTGCCGCAATAGACAATCAATGACGTGGAGAAGGAGCATGAAGAAGGCAACCTCAAGCATAGCATCCGTCGGACCGGTCCGCCGTCTAGGATGGAGACCGCGCGATACGGGTTGCTAGCAATTAGAAACGCTAGAGGTGATGGCGCGCAAAAGACATTAGTGGTGACAGCGTTATTCAACCGCATAATCTGGTAATTAGCGTCCAATCGAACATAAAAACCCAAAAATAAAAAACTCAAAAAGTCGTTTTTTCATGTCGTATTTCGGTTTCCCATTTTTTTCGCCATGGTTCGGATGGCATTTTGTCTGTAATATGATAGGTGGCATCCGGGTCCTGATCTGCCGGTCATTCCGGCCTCCACGGGGACAACCACAGGACATTTGTACATGCAGAGGGTTTATCGGTGGTTTGCGCTGCAACACCCACACCCCATATCCTACGTAAACGCGAAAGAATAATATCGAGCGGTATGCGGATGGAAGCCACGTTACATCAACGGAGCCGGCCCACACTCCTTTACAAACACAAGCACGCCGTATTTGGGAATCAAGCACACACAAGGCGGTGGCTGGACTGTATTCCGCTTCACACTGAGGGCATGGAACCGCTCTTTGAGCCTAGCATAGCCACAAGGAATGTGCATCCCGTCCCCTCCAGCAACTACCAACTGTCTCCTGGAGCTAGTATGAACGAGGTAGTGGGTAATAGACAGCCAGGCACCTAGTCAACATGCACATCAAGCGCAGCCATACCGGAGATATCAAGCAACAGCCATTCACTTTAAACGACAAGCTGAAATAAAAAATCCAAACATAGCATACAGAAACGATGGCATAAATCTTCGCTAAATTACCATATAAAGTAAGTTGATCAGCAACGAATCCGCGATAAGTAACAAATGTCCACAAGTTACTTAAAAATGCTACAAACACAACAAAATTACAGAAGAAAAGCGCAATAAGCGTAAGTAACCTGGCCAGTTAATAAAACATTATTCAGGTAGACAGAACACAACAAAAAAAGTGGAATGAAATTTATCCAGATTAAAAAGACCTAGTTTAAGTGTAAGTTGGTTAAGCCCAACTGCGGTGAAGAAGCATCAAGAACGCAACATCAACCTCAGAATGAAGTATATATATATATATATATATATATATATATATATATATATATATATATATATATATATATATATATATATATATATATATATATATATATATATACAACAGCAGTACATCAGCCATTTGAACTGA